GGCAGCCCCTCGCCGGTGCCCTCGGCCTTTCTGAGCCGCGGGGGCCCGGTCGTTGCCCCTCAGAGAGACAAAATGTCCCCTGGCTGGTTGTGTCTTACCGAAACGCTGCTAAAAACCGGTGAGATCCGTGAGGCGGGAACCCCTGCCCGGTGCTGGTGCCCGGTTCTTCCCGTTCCCCCTCCCGGGGGCCGTTCGGATGATTCCCACAGACCACCCGTGATCTCCGCGCCTGCACGGCGCCGGGGATCGAGCGCTATTCCCACTATTCCTCATTTTTCCCTCTTACACTCTGTGAACCTCGATAACAACAAAAACCCCACCATAAGTTTATTTCTCTTTGCAGGGCGATGAAGTTACGTACGTATATGTTTCGTAAGGGAGCTCGTTTCCCAGCTTTTACGGGGTTGTTACTCGAACGGGTTTGGCTGGATCATGGGTGAGGAGATTTGGTAACCCTGAGCCTTACCTCCTCTTTCCGTGTTACATGCAGAGGCTGACGCAACCTTCCCAGAGCGATGTCGTCGGGATGTTTCACCCGGCTGAAAGGTAGAAGGACCACGAGCAATTAGGAACGACGCTGAAATCCCCATCGGCTGTTGGGTACGGCCCTTTCCCTCTCAGCGGGAGTGCGCCGCTCCCGTGTTTCTCTCCTGTTTTTTAGTGCGTTCCCGCATTATTACATCGCACATTTTAAAACCTGTGACGTGAATATCTGATATTTGCTAAATATTATCAGGCAGCCCGGATTATTTGGAATAAGTCATGGACGTCATGCAGAAAATCCATTATTTCCCTGATTTTAGTAATATTTCACCAATTTTTACAATCGCAAGTGTTGGATCCAGTTCACCACGTATAAATAACGCCATCACTTAATGTTTTCTGAGGGTAGCAGCAATAAGTGAGGGAAATGATGGCACCACGTAGCTAGAAAGGAAAACACGTAGAAAGAAAACGCATCGAATGAGACGGGAGGTGAGGAACTGGGGAGGTGGTGAGGTACGGGAAGACACGGGTGGCGCCGGTGGCCATTGGCACGATCGGGTGCAAGCAGATCCGGGAGGTTTGCTCGGCAGAACGGGAATCTGGAACGGGACGGTGCGGTGAGAGCCAGCTGGAGTTTGAGAGTCAGGGTGACGTCGCTCTGCTATCGAGTGGCTGTGAGTAGGCGTTCCCTTGACAAAACCGTCTGGCACACACAAGTAATCCTTCCAAATACGCTGTGAAAAGGAAAAAAAAGTCAGTTGCCAAAGCAAGAAGGAGTAGATACGCTCTGTTTTCCTTCTCACTCTGCCCTCAGCCTTGCTGATTCTTTATAACACAGGGGAACCTCTCCAGCATAGCTGTTTCAAGCAGTTTAGCAAAGCTGGTTTTAAATCCCTAATAGGATTAGTACCTATTTGCAGTTGGCTTTAGAAAACCTTGTCTTTATTTGACTTCCCTTCCCCATCCTAGGAGTCTGCAGCTCCTCTGGGAGGATGGACACCCTGAGGAACCGGACGGTGGAGGAGCTCCAGGAGCTGCAGGAAAATGCAGAGGAGATCGAGCGCCTGGCCCTGGAGTCCCAGGAGGTACGTGCGGACGGCGTGAGGCCGGCAAGGCGCGGGCTGGGCTTCGTTACCACCTCGCCCGCGGTGACTTTTGCGTCTCCTTCTGCAGGTTCAGGAGCTGCAGCTGGAGAGGGAGATGGCCCTCGCCTCCAACCGGAGCTTGGCCGAGCAGAACCTGAAGTTCCAGGCGCCGCTGGAGACGGGGCGCACCGACCTCTCTAACAAATACGAAGAGCTGCAGAAGCTGGCTGAGCGGTGTAAAGAGCAAAAGGCAAAACTGGGTGAGCGTTTGCAAACCTTGCACCCTTTCCGATGGAGTCACGTGGGCTGTAGCTAGCGCAACATCCTTCCCTTTTGCTTCTACCTTGGCCATACCGAGCAGAGAAACTCTTCAGGGTGGTGCCAGAAAGGACTCTGCTGTGTGTAAGATCTATATTCTCCTGTTTCCTGGTCAAACTGGGTCCCAGCAAAAAACTTTTCTAGTGCAGCAGTGGCTAAAGTTCTTTCCTCTTCAGATTTTCTCCTTGCATCAAGAGTTTCCAAGGCAGGAAGGCGCTCCTGTGAGGGTGCAACAGAGCTGTGTGCTAATGATTTTTCCTTCTTTTGTGTTTAACGTTTTGCTCTGCTGCGCTCTCTGTTTCCCCAGAGAAATTTTCAGCAGCCATGCATCCTCAGACCTTGCTGGATCTCCTGCAGGTGGAAAGCCAGAAAATCGAAGAGGAGTCTGAGGTGAGCTCAAGGTTTAAATCCCTTAACAATTCAAGCGATTAGTCCTCAAAGACTTGCAGTTACGCTCCCAAGCCTAATCCCTTAAATCAAGGATTATGCCTTTGTAGTTCGGCATTGTTGCTCAAAAAAATTGGATTGCCCTTTGTTTGCTTGCGTGTGGTGCAGTGTTCCCCTCTGTGTCTCCGACAGAGATGTAAATCCTAAGCTGGGCTCAGGACAGAAGAGTAGAGGGATGCAGTGCTGAACCCGAGTTTGTCTTCTCTTCCAGAAAATGGCCGAGAAGTTCCTGGAGGGTGAGGTGCCCCTGGAGACATTTCTCGAGCAGTTTTCCGTGATGAGGAAGTTATCCCACTTGCGCCGGGTCAGAGTTGAAAAGCTGCAGGAGATACTGAGGAAGTCAGAAGCGTCGCAGGAGCCCGGCAGGGACTCTCAGCAGCAGCCGCCTCCTCACGTACCTGGGCCTGCGGACCCACCGAAGCCACAGCCCTTCCCTTCGGGGGCTCCTTCCTTCCCTCTGCCCTACAGCCCAGCCCCGAGCATGCCGGTCGGCCCCACAGCCCATGGAGCTCTCCCTCCCGCTCCTTTCTCGGGCTCCCCGGTCACCGTGGGACACGTCGCTTCCTCTCAGCCGAGCACCCAGCCCACGTTTCCCTATAAACCTCCTCCGGGTCCCGGATACCCGCCAGTGCAGGCTGCCGACGCCCCGCCGGGGTATCCCAAACCCCCTTCGGGAGGCTCGTCCCCAGCTCCGGGCTATTCCTGGTCTCCGTCCAGGGGCCCCCCACAGCCCCCAACGTTTCCTGGCTCTCACCCCTCTCCTCCGCCACCCAGACCCGGGTACCCTCCCTACTTCCCCCCCAGCGCAGCGAGACCGCAGTGCCCCTACCCGACCCAGCCGCCTCTCCCTAATTTCCCAATCCCCCCACAGCCTCCCTGTCCTCCTGGACCCCCTCCACCCTTTGGATACCCCCCACCTCCAAACCCTCAGCACCCTGCTTGGCCTGGTTACTAAATCAGGACTCGCGGGGAGCATCCTCTGCTGCTCCCTCCTCTTTTTGTGGACTGAGGAAGAAGAGCAAGCCGAGAGTGTTGCTCTTTGACCCGTCGGTGCGGAAGCATTACGCAGGATAAGAGACTAATGGCTCCGGGCTGCCGCCGGCCCCGCAGGCTGCATTTCTGGATTGGGTTTGTGACGACGGCTGGTGGGCTGAAGCGTTCGCTTCCAAATCGGCTCGTCCAGGCTCTGTCGTGAAAGCCAGGTCGTCATCTAGGTACTGGGTTGGGGTACGATGTGCACTGATCGCAGGCGCTGAGAGCCGGACCCCCTCGTCTGTGTGTCTGTCTGCGAGCGTGCGTGGGTGAGCGCAAGAGACTGCTCCGTGTGCGCCAGTCCTTTGCTGCGGGGGTAACAGATGTAGTATTGTCATTTTAAGCCTTTTCCCAGGTGTTCGAAAGACACGCTGGGAATCTCTGACAGTATTTCTGACACAAAATACTCACTGCTTTCCAAGGACCTTCCTGGAAGTGAGAGGCAGAGCCGGCCCGGCTCGCAGGCGATTCGGAATGGATTGCAGCAGGGAGAGGCAGCGAGCTCGCCCCTTGGGTGGGCCAGACCCGGAGATATCGCTCTGTTTTTACGTGTTTAGGCTCTGCTCGAGCCTTTCCCGGCCGGCTGTGAGGTCGAGCTTCCCCCAGCCCTCTCTCCGCCTGCGCGGTGAGTACGTTTGCTCCAAAGCAGAGGCTGTTCTGTTGCGTTCAGGTGCTTCCAGCTCACCGGGGAGCAAAAACCTCTACTGCTGCTGCTTCTGTCCAGCACAGGAGCCTTTCCCAGCCCGTGCCGGCCCTGCGCTGTCTCACCGGTGGGTGTGAAGGTTCTCGTAGCTCCCCAGAGCTCAAGGCATGGATATTATCTGTGTTTTTGAAGTAAACTGGGCTGGCACGACATCTCGGGCTGCTGCTGCTTTGGGGACACGTGCCTCGGGTCACGGGGAGGAGCGGGAGTCGGTGCCTCCTGCCCAGCTCTGTGAAACGCTGGGGTTCGGCAGCCTCCTGCATCCCCGGCCTCTCCTGCGGCACCCGGGGGAGCGGGGCGGTTATTTGGGGTGCTGCAGGCTCGAGCCTTCCTCACGCCCCCCTTCTCAGGAAACACTAGGTAACGGAGGGAGCGACGCGTTAATGTTAATGGAAATGGGATTTGCTTTGCTCAGCACTTTATACTACAAATCCTGCCTGTATCCCTGTAAGTTATTTATAAGGAGAGATTACTAATGGACTAGAACAAGGCAAACGCTTGTGGGGTTCGATGGAAACAATTCCATATCTGTGGTTAATTACAGTAATAAAATTTGATGAATTGCACGCGGGGTCACGGCAGTGGTTGCTTTCGGAAATGGCGATGCATCCAGCTGACGCTTTCTATTGATCTTTTTATGCCCTCCTGGCGTCCTTACACCAACTTCCTCTGCGTTTTTGTCAATAAAACCTTTCACCCTCTCGCAGGACCAGCTTCTTCAAACTCCTCTTTCCTGCTTGCTTCTTTTCATCTTTCCGAAGGGGCCCGTTTGCGTGGGACTCTTCTGCGTCAGCCCGTCTCTCCCCTCCTCTGGCACCGTTTCTCCCTCGTCCCCTGTGCTGGTGCTGTCCCGCATTTTCCTTCCGTGACTGGGAGGTTGATGGTCTAAGGAACAGCACTGGTAGCGTTGGAAGGAAGAGAATAAGACGTAATTACTAGAAAAAACAATTTTATTACAACGGTTATCGCTTCTTAAATATCTCAGACTTGTTCTCGGTATTTCTACCCTCCCCGTGCTCCTCGCATCCGTGCTTTGCTTTAGGCATCTGCCCAAATCTCGCGCCGTCCCACGCCGACGCAGCCAAGCGCGTGGCTTCGCAGCTCCCCCGGGAACCCGGCAGCCGCGGGTCTCGCAGTTTTTCTGGCGAAGCTCAGCACCCCGGTATCGGAGCGCCTGGCAGACGGCAGCCGATTTCGCTTTCAGCCCAGCCTGGGTGGGAGGAGGAGCGTGGTTATCCCGGTTTTGAGAGACGGAGAAGCTGGCAAACCCCCTCCGAACGGCCACGAGCGTGGCCGCTCCGCTCTCGGTGCGGGTATGAAGCCTGCTGCAACCCAGCTGCCTCTTAGACTCATACAAATAGCTTAAAAAAAACCCAAAAAACCCCACTTCGCGCTTTCCCGCAAGGGAGGCTCAAAAGCAAGAGGAAGCTTTCTCGGAAAGGTGCTCGGGTACCGGGGCGCCGCCGAAGCCGAGCGAGGCTGGGTTAGAGCTGAGCGATGCGCGCCTGGTGCCCGGCGTCAGCCGGTACGGAGGAGCACGGGTGGATTTTGGCTCCGAGTCTGGCAGGGGCTTGGGGGGACGTGGCCCCAGGCACCTCCCATCGCCTTTGGGGGGATGCGGGCAGGTTTTTTTTTTTTTCGAGGTGAGCAGCGCAGGTATTCGTCATCTCTTCCGTCGGCTTCGTTCAGTTCATCGTTGAATCGCAGAAGGGTTTGGATTGGAAAGAACCTTCAAAGATCATCTTGTTCAACCCCTGCCACGGGCAGGGATGTCTTTTGCTAGATGGGGTTGCCCAAAATTTACCTTTCTTGTGCTGCATCCCACCTCTGCCTGCAGGGCGGGAAGGTGGCCAGCGAAGGAAACGAGGTGGCTTGCCAAAAAATGCAAGAAAAGCCGCTAATTCAGCAGTTGCACAGCTTTGCCGCCGCGGGCGTGACCACCCTGGGCCAGCGCTGGGCAGCGGGTGAGGGGGGTGGCTCGGCTGGGGACCAGGGTGGCCCGAGGGGGTCCCGGCTCTGGCGAGGCAGGGGGTCACACTCTGCGGGCAGAGTGCAGGTCGTAGTCGCTGTCGGAGGAGTTGTCCGGAGGGTTGGAAGCTCTCCACGCACCTTCCAGTGCTGCGGGAGGGGAATGGATGCGGCTCATTTCGGCGCCTGGGGGTGCACCCCGGCCCCGGCGCAGCCCCTCGCCCGGTGTCAGCAAAAGTCTTGCCGTCACGCTCTCGCCCGGGGGGTTCATCCCCACCGGCGCGTGCGGGAAGGGAGAACGGAGGAGCTGTTCCCGGCGTCCTCCTGCGCTTACCTGGGTAAGCCGAGAGGTAGGAGCTCTTTTGGGGGGGCTGAGCGTAGTCGTTGTCCCCACCCTGCGCCCGCTGCCCCTCTGCCCGTGGCCTCAGGGCGACGGTGCTGTTGCGGTGGAAGGAGACTGGAAGAGATGGTGGGAGAGGAGTCAGGATCGCGGGCGTTTTGGGGGCTGCAGCAGCAGGTTCCCCACCGCCCCGGGAGGGGAAGGGGGCTGAGTAAAAGCGGGACCCGCTCCCGCACCGCGAACCGGGGCTCGGCTCTCCCGGTTGAGTTAATATCGCGCCGATGAGTCAACACGGCGGCAGGAAGCGAGAGCCGGGGCAGGGGCCACGCGCGAGGCTCGGCTCTCCCGGTTGAGTTAATATCGCGCCGATGAGTCAACACGGCGGCAGGAAGCGAGAGCCGGGGCGGGGCGGGGGGCCGCGCACACCCCCGCCCGCCGGCGCCCGCACCGCACCGGGGCTCGGCGCTCCCGGTTGAGTTAATATCGCGCCGATGAGTCAACACGGCGGCAGGAAGCGAGAGCCGGGGCGCGCCGGGGGCGAGCGGCCCCTTGAACCAGCCCCAAACCCAGCCCCGCGGCGGGGGCCGCCGTCGCGCTGCTCCTCACCCGTCTGGTTGAGTCCCGTGGGGCCGATCCACTGGCGCTGCTTCTTTTTAGAGACTGGAAGGCAGAGGCGGGCGGTGAGAAGGGGGTCTCTGAGCAACCTGGCTGATGTCCCTACCCCAAGCTTCGCTTCCTCCGGCTGCCTCCCCCCTGCCGGCCCCATATGCCATCCTGAATAATCTCCCCTTCCCGGTAATCCCCCCGCCGCCCCGTGAGACCCTCCGCCTGCTCTTTTGTGTCTGCGCGGCATGGGGCAGGCTTGGGGACAATGGGGCAGGGAGGGGATTTGCGGGGCCGAGCGGCACGTGCGTTTCCCAAACCTTCCCCCCAAGGAGCTGGCGGGGAAGAGGCAGGAATGGATGCACGGAGCTGCCAGCCCTGAGCTGCCACGTGGCCATGGCGGGGCTGAGGGAGGCAGAGCGGGAGGAGGAAGATGAGGAGGAGGAGAAGATCCAGAGCTTGTCACCTACTTCTCTTCATCAGCCTCCTGTAGGCAGGAGGGCCGCAGATGAGCAAGAGGATGCCGAAGAGAAGCAGGGCCAGGCAGATGCTCACGATGGTGCCGGCCGCCATGCCGGTGGGATGCGGCTTCGAGTCCTGGCCTGGGGAGAGAACGGGTGTCACCGGACCAGACCCTTGTGCCCAGGCGGAGGCTGATGCTGGGAGCTTGAGCACCCACCACTCTGCCGGGAGGGCTGCAGGGAGCCCCGGCAAGGATTTCCCCATCCCCTGCCCCGAGCTCGCACCCCCTGCCCGTTCCCTGGGTGTTCATACACGGAAATCCCAGCTCCCAGCATCAGCTGGGGATGCCTGGCACTGGGTGCAGCAGGCAGCACTGCCCGTACCCCACGGTCCCACGGGATCAAGCCTGGCATGGCAGCTTACACACGACTCTGGTCCGGGAGCAGGTCCGGGGGGCCCTGAGGCTGACGGGGCAGAGGTGCAGGCTGGGGACCTCACAGGTGACACCCATCGAGGGGGGGTCCCGGACCTCGGTGCTGGAGGAGAGGTTCCCACAGCGCAGCTCCTGGCACAGCTGCCTGCCCCACTTGACTCGCTGCGCCCTGTTGTCACACAGCACCCGCCATTGCCCCTCGTGAAAGACCTCCATGTCCCCTTCGCAAGGCGTGGGGCCGGCCGCCAGCCTCCGCAGGGCCTGGGGCTGGGAGCCTGCGGGAGAGAGGCAGAGAGGGGTCAAACCCACGGGGAGACATCGTGGCCGGCTGATGGGGCTCGGCATCCTGCCAGCATGCGCTCCTCCTTCCACCGGGACTGGCTCTCGGCACAGGGATGCTCACGGCGTCTTGGCTTCCCCTTGTGCCACGGGGACTGGGGGATGCGCACGAGCCGGACCAAGGCCATACGTTGAGGAGCTTTGAGCTGTCCCCGTGGGAAACGCAGCGGGGAAGCCCGCTCTGCCAGCTGCTGCGGTGCAGCCCCTTAAACCCCCAAATCCCACAGGCGGGCTTCTAAGCTCGGGCAGATGGCAGGACCTGGAGCGAGCCCGCTCCTCACCCGGCGGCTTGGCTCTCCGTGCCGCGGCACCAGCACCAAGCCGCTCCGCAGGGAGATGCTCACGGCAAGCACCCGAGAGGTGCGGATGAGTACGGTGCTGGGCTCTGCTGGGATACCCCGCACGCCCGTATTGCGTTTCGGGGTGCTAACATGGCGCTTGCTGTGCGCTGCGCTCGCTCCCGAGCTTTTCCTACTTGCAGCACTGCTGCGTTCGAAGCTCGGAGCTGGGGGTGCTGCTGCCAGGAACCGAGCACGCCGGGGAGGTTTCCTGTTTTGCCTTCGCACGCCAGAGAGGAAGAGCAGGAGCGGGGGGACGGGGTGCGTGGGGCAGACAGGGATGGGGCTGTTGCCCTGCTCGGGGCTTCAGCTGCCCTGATCCCCCTCCGCCCCGGGGCTCTTCCCACCTCCGCAGCGGGGAAAGCAGCCCACGGCCGCGGAACACGCCGTGGGCAGGCCAGCCGGCCGGCCGGGGCAAGCGGGGGGTCCGGGGGAAGGAGCGGCGCTGTGCCGGGGTGAGCTCTCACCAGAGCAGATGATGAAGGCGGGCGCTTTCCCCCGCTGGGCGCTGGTCCTGTTGAAGCAGTCGAGGAGCAGACGGCTCTCGCAGGACTCCACCATCTCCCACCGCACCGGCAAGTGGCTTCCCTGCTCCGGCTTGCCATGGCCATGGCCGTCGATGGCGGTGCCGCAGCTGAGAGCCTGGCAGACGCGGGTGGCCAGCTCCGTCTGGGTGCCCGGGCTGCTTGCCACGGCGCCCCACAGCCCCTGCCTGTGCAGCTCCACGAAGCCTGAGCAGCCGAAGTCCCCATCCACCAGCCGCAGCCTGGCGGGTCCTGGTGAGGGACGGGGAAAAAAAAGCATCTCGTTCCAGACGGGCACGACATTTCTTGAGCAGAAAATCCCCGAGTCTGCCACGCCTGAAGCTTAATTGCCCCGTCGATGCTGCAAACGCTATTAATGAGATCAGGCGCTCTCGCAAAGTGGGGGGCAGTTTGCTTTGCTGTGCGTGCCCCCCGGTTTGGCCATTGCCAAATGGGATGAGGCTCTTACCGGTGGGCTGCGGGGTGGTGATAGGGGGTGCTGGCGGGGGCTCAGGGGTGGTTTTCACCGGCTCTGAAATGAGAAGAGAGGGGCCAGGTCGGGGTGGCTGGTCCCCAGGGATGGGGGTGGCCAGGGTGAGGGTCTAGGCTGACCGCTGCAGGCGAGGATGGCATGCTCTGTGCGGTTTTTGGGCCACGCTGGCAGATGCCATCCACGCTGGCCTTGCTCGCGCTGTCCCAGCACACGCGGCTCCAACTGCCCTCCCACTTCACCTCCAGTATCCCGACGCAGCGGCAGGCGGCGCCGATGAGCTGCAGGCTGGGCTCTGCGGGGAAAACACAGGCGTTAGGGGCTTTCCTTCCCTTCGCAATGCGTTTTCCACATGGGGCTGGAAAAGCCCTTGCCAGCTCGTCGCCGCAGCCAGGCGTGCCGCTTGGCACCGGCGTGCCCCACGATGGCAGCCGGGGCTTCTCGCAAAGTGGGGCAGGAAGGAAACGGAGCGTTGGGGGGTGCACGGGCAGGCGGGGGGCTCGGGAGACGCAGGCACCGCGGGGCTGAGCCAGGGGATCCGGCTGCAAGAAGGCCACGATGCAGGCGCTGCCCCCACGCACGCTCACCTCCAGGGCTCGGGGCGGCTCCTCCATGGCCGGCGATGGCTGCAAGAGAGAGGGGGACGGGGCGTCAGTCCTGCTCCTCACCCTGGGGGAGGCGAGAACCCCCAGGCTGCAGCAGCGGCTCCCGGCTCTTGGCCTGTTGCCGGTTATTTTGGGGGAGAAAGGCGATTTTGGGGGCTCGGGTCGACTTTTCACCAGGGCAAAGATGCTGCCAGTGGAAAGGAGCCGATGGTGGCCAGGAGATCCCCGGCCACACCATACTCTGCGCTGACCTGGCTGTAATGCTGGGGGGACACCTCCGTCCCCAAAGCCCAATGGTGGGGACAGAGCCCCGGGCTGACCACGTGCCCCTCCGGCACCGGGGGCCAGAGGAGGAGGCTGGGTCATACTGGCTTTTTCTTTGGCAATAGAAGAGCATTTTCTGGCTTTCGCGGTGAATTTGCTCTCACTCCTCCTCCTCACACCGTTAATTCAAATAAATAAATATGAACGGCCTCATGCAACTGGCCATCGCACTGCCTGCCAGGCTGCCCGTCCGTCTGCCGGTGGATAATTATGGCTGAAAAAAGACAGACAAGGGCACCTGCTAATTACCGCTAACTAGCTAGCATCACTACAGCTAGGAAGGTACGGCCGAGCAGCCGTGGATGGTGCCACCATCACCGCGGTGAGCCGGAGCAGCACGATGCCTGCGGCTGCCCACCATGCCATGTGGATCAAGGGGTGGCTGGGGACGGCAGGAGCTGGCAGGGAATGAGGACAGGGGGACAGCTGGCTGTCCCCCAGCACCCGTAGGCTCGCTCCTGGGGTGTGATGAGCATCCTGGTGACCCCCAGAGCTGGGGGGACCGGACCTGCGTGGCCCCAGCCGAGGCGTGCCCATGCTCGGTGTGGGCTCGGCAGCCCCGCCGCTGGTCACCAGCCCCTCTCCCTCTGCCTGACCCGAGCCCCCGTACTTGGGGCTTGCCCAGGGTGGGCACATGGGACACCCAGCATGGTGCCATGGGTGAGCCGAGATGGGCACCCCGCTGAGCCCATGGGCAAGCCCAAAACATGCCCGGCTGCCCAGCAGTGGGAAAGCCGGGGGGTTTTGCCATGGGATTTCAGGCATCCCACGCTGCAGCCAGGCTGGGTCCCCCTGGGCATCGCCTGCACCAGAGGTGTCGGCGTGGTGGGTGCTCCCTGGTAAAGCACCCAGCACCCCCAGCCTGCCCGCCGGGCTGAGCCCCACACCGTACTCACCCCACATCCCCAGCAAGAGCAGCAGACGCAGGGCGGGCAGCCGGGCTGCCATCAGCACGGCCGGCCGCCTCCTCCCCTCCGGCCCTGGCGCGCGGAGCCCGAGCCGGAGCCTCCCGGGGGCACGGCCGCCTCTGCTACCAGGCCTGGGGAAGGCAGGCGAGGGGGGACGGGCAGGAACAGGCTGTTTTTCCTCCCCCTGTGGTTTTCTGCGTCATGTCTATGCTCGTTTGAAGTCTCAATCCGGCAGCTACCTCCCCAGGTCCCGCTGAGCATGAGAGCAAGAGCAAAGGGAAGAGAAACCTGGGTGGCTTGGCCCCCACCCCGTCCCCATCTCGGGGTCCCCCCATCAGCCCCCCATCTCTGCAGAGGGTGTGAGCCTGGAGGGATGGTGAACATACCCAGTGCTGAGGGGTCAGGGGGACCCCAGCTCTCCCTTGGGTCCCCATGAAGCTGCCGGTTGCTGGAAGGCGAGAGCCCGGGGCACCCAGAGCTGGCACCCAAAGGAGAGCTGGGGGGCACAAGCCAGGGGGTGCAGGGGGTTTCTGGGTGGTCGGAGCCAGCGGCATTCACCGGGGAAAATCCCAGCCCCGGCAGCAGCTCCCTGGTGCTGGTAAGCTGTTTCAGGAGCCAGCAAGCTGGACTGCAGCGGGGAAAACCAGTGACGGCCACTAAACCCAACAGCCCAAGCTCCCCCGAGGGCCGGATCCCACCCTCGCTGCTATGGGGAGACCTATGGCCGCTCTCACGTAACACCAATCCCTGCCAAAAATAGCCTCCTCGTGCCGGCGGCTGCTTCCCTCCTCCTCCTCGCAACCTTGCTCCGGCTCTGCCCCAGCTGCACCACCACCCTCACCGCCGCCTGCGGTCACCGGTCGAGGCAAGCAGCACCGCTGCACCGGCGCAGGAAATGTGCCGTGGCGCTGGCCATGCCACCGGCTCCTGCAAAGGAGCTGATGCACGCCGTCCCATGCCATGCCACACCGTGCCATGCCCTGCCATGCCGTGCCGTGCCATACCGAGCCGCCACGTGCCCCGCAGGCCACGGCAGCACCCGAAGCACCGTGATGGCCCCACGGGATGGGGACTGGGGAGGTTTCATCCAGGCATGTCCCTGCTTCTCCCAGTTGCTGGCACCCCAGGGACGCCGTATATCCCTGCAAGGGCACGTGGGGCACAGGCAGTGATGGACAGGGGAAGGGAGAGCCGTTAATTGATTGTACCCTAATTAATTCCTCCAAATCCAGGTCATGCATGCTAACGAAGGCAGCTGTTTTCCATTGACCCAATGGTGTTTCTGCTGAAAGGAGAGTGCCCAGCTGGTGCCGGGGGAATAGTGCTGGGGGGACTGAGCTTCCCGGGCAGCTCGGTGGGGTTAGGGAGAGCTCCTGTCCCCTCCTGCTGCCATGGCCCTGGGCTGCTGCCTGCAGCTGTAGGATGCTCTGGTCCCCAACCCTGGAGCAGGGGCTCGGCTCCCCTGGGAGTTTCATGGCCCAAAACTCTCCGGGTTGAAGATTTTCCATGACTCCACAGGAAGCTTGCTGCGGTGCGGTGGGTGGCAAGGCGGCTGTGGGCTGCCAGGCACAGGCAAGGCCAGGCAGAGATGCTCAGGGAGGTCAGGCAGCGATGCCAGGCGATGCTGGCAGCATGAGCACGCCGTCTCCAGCCAGGCCCTGCCATCCCTGGAGGTAACGCAGCTTAGCAATCCCCTCCCAGCTCCTTTGGCTTCTTGCAGCCTCCACATCCCCTTGGCCAGGCAGAGCGGGGCTGCTGCCTGCCCCTGCCTGCACTGGGCAGGGGAGAACCCCCGCAGCGCAGGGCTGTGGGCTGCTCCCCGCAGCCCCCACTTGTTCCCATCCCCTCCCGGTCATCCTGGGGGTCCTGCTGGCCCCCAACACCAGGCTGGAGCTGTGATGGGAGCAGATCCTGCCAGGATGTCCCACAGGGTGCTGGGGGTCCTGGTGCTGCCCCCCACGCACCCACGGGCTCTGGGCTGGCACGGCTTTGGCAATGCACTGGGAAAGGGGTGCAAGACCCAGACCTGGGCCAACCCTTCCCACGGGACTCAGCTGGGGCTGCACCGGGGCCAGCCCTGGGGGTCTGCGGGGGGGAGCCGAGCCCCTCTCACCCCAAATCGACCTGAGGTCGGTGATTCACCCCGAGCATCCCGGGGCGCTTCACCTCTAGGGAAGGTCCACCTCTCCCCATTATCCAAGGCTGCCTGACCCCCATGGACGTGGGGTGCCCAGGGTCCAGACCTCCCCTCCGAGCCGCGGCTGTGTCTGGAGGCTCTGAGATATCACGGGCAGGGTTTGCACCACGGCTCGGTTAGAGCATCCCCGCTTGCTGCCGGCGATGCACGTCAGCTCAGCATCGTCTGCATGCTGTGACAGATAAGGATGATTATAATATCTTTCCAGAGGAGTTGGGGGGGAGAGCTGGGACATGCTGACATGCTACCTGTCCGTGAGAAGCCTTTTAAGAGGCAGGAGCTGCCTTTGGTGGGAGCCGCTGTTATCCTGACGGTGGTGGAGGTAGCATTTCCCACCGCCTGTCACCGTGTGCAGGAGCAGCAGCGACAATAAATGGTTGGCACTGATGTACCTGTCCTGTGGCTGGAGGTGACACGTGGGCCCTTTGCCCCATGCCCCGACGGGAACGGGGTTATCGCCCCCCCAGGGCATCGGCATCCCCCAGGTCGCTGCCCGGCCATGCCGTGGTCCAAGCGGTCCCAACAACCGCCCTTACGAAGGTGCCGCCATCTCCTCCCCTGGCACGGGGAGCCACGAGTGCGGCTGGGGTCACCCCCCGTGCCCGCTCCCGGCCCCGCTCTGCTCGCAGCAGCCATCTCCTTGCTCTCGCCTCGCTCCTTTCCCCTTTGTCTGGGGCTTTGTTGCTATTTTGGTGCTTCCTCCGTTGTTGCGGTGTGGCCCCTTTGTTCGGGGCCGCCGGAGCCTCTCGCCTCGGTAAACAGCTGAAGGATGTGGTGGGGGGCAAATTTTCCACGGGGGCGGGTCTGAACCCCAACCTCTGCCGAGGCTCCACCTCGGAGATGGAAACCCGCCGGCGGGTGCCAGGGCGGGAGACGTGCCGGGGGGTTCGGTTTGCCGATGGAAAGAGCTACACGGGGCGCAGGGAAGCCCCTCGGGGCGGGGAGACAGAGGGGTCCCAGCCCCAGGGGTGATGGCTGGGTGCTGTGCTTGGCTCAGCTGGGTGCAGCCCCCCGAGCCCACCGGTGTCCCTGTTCCCGAGCTGCGCCTGGCACAGGGTGATGCTGTTTTGCTTGGGTGGACCGTGGGATGCCCCAGCTTTCACCGCGGCACGGGTTATCCCTCCCTCGGGGGCTGTATCCCACCCCCTCAGCTCTGGGCGAGGGGGAAAAATCCACCCTGGGCTGGAAGCTGGCTATGTCCTACTTCTCACCTTGGTATCTGCCCCACAGCCCCTGGCTGGGGTGAGAAGGGTCCGGGACCCCCCAGCACCGTCCAGTGTGCTTGGGCTGGGACCCCAGTGCCTTCCCTGCCAGCATCCCTCGAGCCCCCTGGCCAGGGTTTATGGGCATGGTGGCCAGTGTGTCCCTGGGATGGGGAGGACCGTGGCCCGGCGGGGTGCGGGGAAGCTTGGGGGGGCCTCTGTATCCATCGCTGTGTTGCCACAGAGTGTCGGGGACGGCTGTGGGCCCACCGCCACCCCACGACCCCACCACCTGCCTCCCTGCAGGGCCAGCCCTGGGGACTGATCGCCACCCCCAGTGCTATGGGGCTGGATCAGGCCCTGCCTGCCACGGGCTGGGGACGGGACGTCTGGCTGCTCCTGCCCTGCTCAGCTCGGGCACGTCCCAGGCGATGCTGCTCACCATGGCTGTCACCAGCCTGGCAGGGGACTGCAGGAAGGGACATCTTTGGGTCACTTGTCCCTTACTGCCCCATGGGCAACTGGAAGCCCTTGGGAGAGGTTGGTGACCCAGCCACCTGCGTGGCCAAGGGACAAGGCGACCTGCTGGGAAAAGCTTTTTAATCACATCACGCAGCCCAGCACAGCTCGCCTGCACTGAGCATCCCCTGGGTGCCGTTGGGACCGATGCCCGCACCTCGGCACGGAGGAGACGGCTGGAGAAGTCCAGAGGAGACGTCGGCAGCGGGATGGCAAGTCCTCGGCTGCACGCAGTGCCAGGTCCCCCCCTGCCATGCCACTCTGTCCGTGGCGGTTGGGCAGCCTCAGTAGGCAGAGCCCTGGATGTCATCGTAGTCGCTGCCCTCAGAGGAGTCAGAGTCCTGTGCGTGTCCCGCCGTGGGGCAGGACGGAGCCGGCCAGCCTGCAAGGGACACCCCGTCAGGCAGAGCCGGGCAGGGAGCGGGAGGAGGATGCTGCGGGGGCAGAGGAGCCCTGCACCCCTCCATGCCACCCTGCTCCTGCCCTGCCAGCATGGGGTCCTCACCGGGGTGCTGGGACGGGTCCCCGGGTGGCTCCATGCCCTGCACGTTCTCGTACCACTCCCCCGAGGAGGTGCTGGAGCTGTCGGCAGGATCAGGGTCTGCTGGAGACACAGGTACCCAGGGGTGGGAGAGCACTGGGGTGGGCACACAGGGCATTGCTGGAGGAGCTGGGAGAAACAGGGGCTTTTACTGGCACCTTCCATCCCTGCTCCTATCCCCTAGGGTCCCCCACTTCCATTCCCTCCCTGGGGTTGTCCCCATTCCTGAAATTCCTGCTCCCATCCTTGGGGTCTCTCCATCCCTGCTCCTGTCCCCAGGGCTGTCCCCATCCCTGCTCCTGTCCTTGGGGTCTCTCCATCCCTGCTCCCATCCCCAGGGCTGTCCCCATCCCCACTCTGGTCCCTGGGACCACACAGCCCACTGGCAGTGCCCACCTGGGCCAGGGTAGTCGGTGTAGCCGTGGGTGGTGGGTGCTGTGTGCTGGTGGGTGCCATCGGCGGGGGGCGGCGGGCAGACCCAGGCGTGCGGGGGGGGAGCGCTGTCATTGCAATAGGGCTCGGTGGAGGAGGAAGAGGAGGTGGAGGAGCTGCTCGCCCTGCTGCGGGATGGGGGGCCCAGC